ACGATGAGCAACATCAGAACTTGCAAAAGATTGGTGAAAAATGTTCATATAAGCCTACATATCACTTCCTAGCTACACTACCGTCACTGTAAGCGCGAGATTGTCTCCAGCTACACCCAACTCGTAGTGTTAGCCTGGAGGCCACATGTCCATCAAACGGCAGTAGCTACCATAGAGGCGTGCCAAGTCTTGCTTCTTGATGCTGCAAAGCATAATGTGTTCAAGCTCTCTGCCGTGCTGGGATGATGCATCAGCCATCAAGTACCGCACGAAACCACCTGAACCGTCGGATTGTCCTTGATTGCATTGGCGCAGGAAAAGCATGAAACTTCCATCTAACAGCAGTTTCCATCTAGAAATCGTGCTCTCGTGGGGTATGTGCTGCTTGCAGGTGTCCAACATCGTCAGAAAGGACGGTTGCAGCACGGATGGAAGAACAATGCACGCAGCTGTTTGTAAAACTTCTGACATCGCATTTGCACTGCGGAGCAAACTCGCAAGAGTCACGGCCTTCACAAGGAAAGCGACCTGATACGGCCGTCTGGAGCATCGCCACAAAGCCACCCCTTTACCAGTCATGTCCCGGACTGAGCGAACAAAAGCGCTGGGATCCATGCTTGCTTTCAGAGTTTGGAAGGTTGCTACACACTTCTGCAAAGCTATGTACTCTACATTCTCAAAAGTTTCGTCGGTAGCATGAACCGACAAGGAAGCCGCATAGGTTTTCAAGAAATCCATGGCCTCGTCTAGAAGCTCTGCGTTCAAAGCAACATTCGACTCTTCGTCGGGGAAGGTCTGGGCGATCAGAGTCAGCTGAGGTATGCTTGGGTGATGGGCATCGAGACCAACTGCAGGCCAATTCATGGTAAGGGTTGAGGAGCCGCTTTTTATTTTGTTGGGAAGGTGAGGCAGCAGCAACGCTGACCATCTTCCATGGACCACCTGCTCCACGAACAGTTTCGGAGCTCGAAGCATGACGTCTGGAGGCATATCTCCTATCCAGTGATTCGCAGCATGATCCAAATCCCTCCACAAGCGAGGAGGTTGCTCTGGCTCTAACACAGTCAAAAAACCTCGGAAATGTCGGGTGCCCAGTTGTTGCAGATCTGCTGGCTGCTCCAGCGCAAGGGCTTTATCCACCACAAAAATGTATGCATTGCCATGTAAGTTTTTGCCTGTGATGCTCTGCCAAAATTCTAGCTGCTGCTTCAGTTCAGGCGACATCAGCATCATAGCATCGTAAATCTGCACCTCTTTTACACGAAGAATTCCCCAAATCTGCGCTCCGCGCTCACCATCCACCTCGCACTCCGGATCCTCTT